CTGCTGAAAAGGAATCATGAGGCCTGAGCCACTACTATGAAGAAAATATGTTGTTAGGTGCACGATACTCTTTTATGCTTGTTGCTCTTCTTTGCTAATTCTGAGCATGTATTTAATCTATTTTGAATACAGGCTAATAAAGTGAGAAAGCAAGTCCAAACTGCAGAGTATTTTGACAAAGCTTAGGTTCAGAGATGATAGGTTGAAAACTTGGCAGATCTCTACAAGAGGTATAAAAGTTCCTATATGTTATCCAAGATACACTCATTTTCATAGTGAAAGTGCTTAAAAATGGAAATACTCTTTTGGGTATTTTTTCCTCTTTCTGGGTACAATTTGTTGTAATTTTTTCTTCTTCATGGCAAAGATTGGTACCAGTTTCAGTAAAACTTGCATTGGGAAGGAACGTTCAGAGACAGGTCATTTGCAGTGCTGGGGTGGGTTTCTGTCCTGTTCCTCCAGATGCTCCCCAGAACTTCTCTTAAAATACGTGACAAAGGACAGTAACGAGGAGGAGGATGTGGCAGCAAGAGATTTATTCTTTAGGTTGCAAGTTGGGTGTTTATTTGGGATATATAAATCCCAGGTTAAATTTTTGGACTCTGTGGAAGAAAGCTGCTAGTTTCCTAACCAGTGAGGGCCTTTGCTGTCATTCATGAGACAAAACTAGGAATTAATTGACTGTAGGCTTTGCTGCTGTTTTGCAACTCATCACAGTTTCCATTTTTCATGCTTTGCAAAATTAAAATGAGATATAGACTAAAAAAATAAATAAATCTGTTGTTAGAGCTGAGTTTCAGTTCTAATTGTCATCACATCTGAGCACAAAAACAATTTTTTAGATTATTGAGGTCACAGAGCATGCTTAAGATTAATTCACAAACTCAATGACTTTGTAGATAGACTTTTTTCCAGCATGTGTCACTGTAAGAGCCCATAGGTAAATCTTAATTTTAGTAGTTAATATTTTTCATTAGATGTTACTTTTTCTCTCTTTCCAGGTATTTCTTGTATATATGGAACTACTGAGTTGATAATTTTTACATCTGTGAAAAAGAAAAAGGTTGTCTTAAAACTTACTGGACAGGAAAAAATATTTGAAAAGTTTGAAATCTTTTTTAAGAACTGTTTTTTCATTTACTAAAAATTCAATACTAATAATACTATTTTGTTTTAATACAGAATTAAAAAAAAAGTAGAATTCACATGGATGTGTAGAAAGCTGGAGTAAATATATGTGGTATAGTAAACATAAGCATCCCTTATAGCAAAACAATATATCTGCTGAAAAAGGGGATTGGCATGGGTTTAGTTAGATAGCTTTGAATGCAAGTGGCAAAAATTTCTCACACCACTCTGGGTAACTTTAGTGTGGAAATTAAGAATGTGAATAATGTCCTGTTGACAACTAGATTTGTAACTGGAAAGCAAGGAGACTTTTGGGCTAGGTTGGGAAGAATCTAAACAGCACTAACTTTGCTGCAAAGGAAAGGAAGAGAGTAATAACTAATGTTAAAAATCTTTGAAAGTTTATAAAGCAAGCTATCCCAGTAGGAAGTCTGTGGGATAACAGGCAGAATTTGGAGAGTCAGTGCTTACTTGTCATACACACATCATCAATATCTTTGGGAAAACTTTTAAGTATTGACACATCTCTAAATTATTTTTAATATTTAGACTCCTTTATTAAAGTAGGAACTTTATTTCTACAAATCTATTTCCTACTGGTACAGCACTTGCATACTAATTAATGTGGAAAAGACTGTGATGTTGTGAAACTTATTTTTCTACTAATACCTCTTTTATTTAAGTGAAAGCATCCTTTTCTATATGTGTGCTTAAGTAACATAAATACAATTGTCTATACTTAAAATCTGGGGAAGTGTTTACACTTAATGATACTGACTGAAGTTTTAGCTAATCAGCAGGATGATGAGAGTCAGTCTTCTGGTAAGCAGTCAGTCAGTGAATTAATAAAAATAAAGATTTTCAGTTCAGTCCGAAGAGGGCAGGTTTCTCCATGCTGAATGACTTGTGGGTTGGCACTGTTTCCAGAGTTCACTACTTATCTGGACAATGAGGTTGTACTGTTTTTTTCAAAAGAGCTGAGGAAATGTTTGCTAGAGAAGCACAGGAGTGTGTCTGTGGCTGCTACTGGAAGAGTAGGCTTGTATTTTTTAGCACTTCCATCCCAATTTAGGAAAGAATACAACACTTCGTGGAATAGTGAGTCCCTAAAGTCTTCTTCTGCAGCCATTACTGTCTGATGAATCCTGTGGATTTCAGACTTATTGTGTAACTACAGGTTGCAGGCACTGATGCCTAATGACTTCTGAAATGGATTTTTTTTCCTTGCAAAATGCCATATTGTATATTTAAGATGCAGAAGAATTACTGGGCCATCACTGAAGCAAAAGATATGATACACTTGCTAAAACTTACTGCTATCTTAGTTTCTTATTCTACAGTATGTTAAAGCATAAGTGTTCTGCTGGATGTGTTCCATTACAGACCATGGAAGTGCTCATTGTATTTCGTTAAGGCACATCAACATACAGTACAGTTTTATGTATTAAAATAATGTTTTAGTCTTAAGCAAGAGAAAGAAGCTGCTGTACATGTGAAAGAATAATCCCCCTTTTTTACTTATTAGTTTTTCATTACAAAAAAAAAAAGAGCAGAAATAATTGTTTTGGGAGCAGAAAAAGATCTTGAGGATTTTTAACCTTAAATGTAAAATAAAAAAACAACAACAACAAAAAAAACCCCCACAAAAATTATTTATGACACTTTATGTGTATTTTTTTTATGCTTTAGCCCTTTCTAGCAAATGTTCCTTCTGCTTCCAGTTTCTGTGTTCTTCAAATATTTACTATGGTACTTTTCTAAGGTTTAATGTGTTGGTCAGTCCTATTTTGGTGTATTTACTACTGACTTTGTAATAAGATGTGTGTGCACACATATGGACTTCGCAGGTGATGTGAGCTTGAGCTTCACTGCTGACCCTGAAATGGCTTCCAGCTCTTCCAAGGGTACAGGATGAGATTATTACTGAGTAGTAGAAATGCAATGGGGTAGAGCAAAGTTATGGGATACGCAAAGACCTCTGTTATTGGAAACTCCTCAGTCAGCTGTGTTGTATAAAATTAAAGAGAAATGGGTTCTTTGGCTACTGAGAAGCTGACAGTAACCTCTGAATGTGATTCAGCTGCGATTAATTATTTTAGGTGCATATTACTTGCAGTGGATACATGGAAATCTTAGTGTTTTTTTTAACAGGCCTTGTTAACGTCTCATTTTGAGCATATGTTCACCTGTGTTCATGTAGAGAAATGAAAACAGGAGTGATGGAAATGAGAATGAGTTGGATGATGGAGAGTGTCTTGAAAGTGAAAGGACTTGAGCACATTTATCCTAGCAGAGCACAGGAAGGGCAGTGGTAACTTCATAAAAATGGCTTCACGAGGAAGTATGAGGGAGGTACAAAAACTACAAAATTAAGCACAACATAGGTGTAAATAAGTTTCTGCAAGTAGCTTCCAAATACATTAGGGCTAGAAATTTGACTAACTTTCTAACCAACTGGGGGATATAGCAGTGGTATAAGCTTATAAGCACATCTTTGAAGACAGGGAACCTGAACTACGTTTTCATTCTCCACTTTACGTTATTAACAAGGTAAAGGCAACCTGAGTCTGTGACTGAAGTTTTTCAGGTGCTCATTGCTGTCTGTTGGAGGTTACAGAGAGGCTGAACCAAAGATCTTTATGATGCTTCATCCAGTGCATTTACACTGAATGGATCCCACAGCTTGAAGTTCCTGGTGTGGCCTGTGGGAGCTCCTCTTTGTGACTAGGTGTTTATTCTGCATCTCCCACCCCATCCCCAAAGCATTAGTTTCTCCATGTAGGTGGAGGCAGGATGTTGGGTGGGTTGTAATGAAAACCTCAAGTGCCTAGCTGGTGTGACTTTTTATCTTCCCCTACTTGCTACTGGTTGAAATAATTTGCCTGAGTCTGACCAGTGTTGTTGAAGAGGAATGAGAGGATTTGGATCATCTAGGTATTTTCAGCAAGCAGTGTTTCCACTCTTCCATACTCAGATGAACCATAATGTCCAGGGTACTGAGAAACATTTAATGTGTAGCAGAAATGGTTGTCAGGAGTAATCTCTAAAATACTGTGGACTGGCAGCTTATTGAAGAGAATTAGATTTATCTAGCCCTGTTCCGTGGTCATGTGCCTCTTCTGCGTTGAAGATGACCACTTTGATGAAGTGCCATTGTTTCCTGTAGCTTACTTGAAAAAAAGTGAAGTGAGACAATTCTCTAAAAGATGGTAGTCCTCTGCAAACCTCCTTTTTCCATTGAATTAGCAGTCTAGATACTAATTTGAATGTTGCAGAGATCTACGTAATAGATAATGCTGTCTGCTTGCACAGTAACTGCATATGCAAAAATTGAAAAAATGTTATTAAGTTGTCAACCCTTATATTAGCAAGTTATTTTGCATTTCTAGCCACTTGTTATAATGGTATATGTGTCTTCCAGAGTACACTACTGAATACCTGTGAAAGATGTAAAATAGATGCATTCAACTGTAAATTTTCCAATAAAATAATAGCATGCTTGAGGGTTGATATGAGTGGTATATACTTCAGTTGCTATCTGAGCATTTATTTAATTATACAGTTTCATATAGTTTGTAGGTAGCTTGTGTTTAAAAACTGAAAATCACTGTAGTATACTATTGTGTTGCATGAAAATGGAAAGACAAAAAAAAACACCACTAAAAGAACGATGTTTATGCATTTTCTCTTTTTCCTTTCGCTGCCTTTTTGCATCAGGAGCTGCTGAAATGGGTTGTGGATTGAACAAATTAGAGAAGCATGATGAAAAACGACCTGGTAATATCTATTCAACTTTGAAGAGGCCTCAGGTGGAAACCAAGATAGATGTTTACTACGAATATCGATTCCTGGACTTCACGACACTAAACGATAGTAAGTACACAATGTTATCCTTTAGATTATTTTTAATTGAAATTAACATTTTAATTGCTCCGTAATGTTTTTTGAATAGTGTAAGTAGTAGTTAGGTTTATAAAGCATCTTTAGCTTCTTCAAGTAAATGCCTTCTCTTCAGTCATAATGCTGTCAAGCAGAGAGATCTTATTGAGAATTTTCTGTAAATTTTTAACCTTTGAGCTATCTGTAAGTTCTCAGATTTTTAGTTCATTTACACCTCCCTCTCTGCTCCATGTGCTCCCTCAGGAGTATTTTGAGAGGTTAAAGTTAGTGTTTTCAGCTTTGCTAATGTAGCTTAAATGACTCTTATGTGGTTACAGATACTTGCTGATAGGTGCACCCATGAGCGTGGAAACAGGATAGTGGGAGAAACTGAAGATCTAAAACATCAAAGGGGTGAAGGTTCAGTCTCACACTTTTTTGTGTGTGTGTCTGAAAGAATTTTGCTTTAATTCATATGACATCCACAGATACTTCATTTCTTTCCTTCCTGATTGACATCAATCATCTCTGCCAGTATTGCTCACACCATCGCCTGTGCCCTCTTTCACTTCAAAATTAGCCTGTTCTACAAGCAATTACTCCTCACACCATTTGGAAATCTGAAGCTTGAGCAGAAGGCTGGGACCTGCTTCTTGCTATATATAAAACAACACAGTACCAAAATCTGTTACAGCTAGCTGGCAGGACGCCAGGTAGAGCCTCTATGGTTTTGCCCTGCAGTGTGCTGCTACTTCTCTTGTTTTGCCAGTCAGGTCAAAGGAAGAGCCAAAGCGTCACGTCTCTCACTATGTGAGACAAAGAGCTGCTGGTACGTCGCTTGATGTGACACCTCTAGTGCAGCTCAGTATGTTCAGTCTGGAGTCACGTGGATTTTTTGTTTTTTAAAACTTGCTGCAAGTGAGCTTGAATTTGGAAGAAGGTGGAGGTTTGGAATAGGTGGTTGGACAGGAGTGCACTTTGTAGGTAATGCAGAAACTCAGTAATTTTGTCTTCACAGACTTTTCTTTGTGCTTTTTTTCCAGATTCACAGATTCTTCTGTTTATTTTACTAATTGAGATGCACTGCAGTTACTGAGGGCACCAGACAAATAGGAGAGGATTTTTTTTCATACTTATGTATTGCAGTTATTTTTACATTTGTGTTTTGATTTCAAAGTTAACTGTTTATGTTGTTTGATAGTTTGACAACTTTTACTGAGATGTACTGTGAGTAATCTAATTAGTGATTATCAATTAATATTAAGGACACACTTGTATGGGCTTTTCTGGGGTATTCATCACTGTTCTGACTGATTGCCTCGCAAGCCTTAGCTTGTGTATTCTCCTGATACCTCATGAAGTCTCTACTTTGTCACTGTAAGGAGAAAGAATCAGTACATGCAATAGCCTCAGGCACAGAAGATGTCTGGCACAGAGCAAAAAATTAAACACAGACTTTCCAAATCTGATTAAATCAATAGGTTTTTGATAGGTTTGTTGTAAAGCATACTTGTATGCTTTTCTTACTCATCATGGATTGCTTTATTATGACTTTAGGAGGCATAACTCAAAAGAAACTGTGATTAGAAGTACTTCTATCAAATGCTTTGGCTTGCCAAAGGGTGTAAGCTCTTCAGCTCCCATTGAGTTTTGCTTTGGCATGTTGTATCCCCATTTCTTCAGTGTCTGAAGGTGCTAGTGGATAGGCAGATGAGGAGGGGATAGAGTTGTTCCTGCTGCTTTTCCTTAGTATCATCCATGGCTGTGTGCTCTCAGGATTGGCAGGGCAGCAATTTGTGGTTATGCAGCTCCCTCCCTATTCGTTTTGTTGGCTGTATAAGGGCTCGCATCCCACTGCATAGTACTGCGTCTTTTCTCAGTGGTGAGAGCATCACTGGTTCATTTATATTTTTGCTCAGCAAGAATCTCTGCAAATAACTAAAGTCAATGAGTGTTTTGCCTGTGCCTGCAAGAATTCAGAGGCTTCTAAAAATGAAATGCTTGCAGCTGTGCAAAAAGAGCATTTGGATTGTGAAATCTGTCTTCTGTGAGTCTACTTTGGCCCTTTCACTGTACATATATATCCTGACATTTTTTTCACAGATTTTCTCTTTTATTAGTTTTTTAGAATAAGCCATGCTAAATTATGTCGATGAAGAGTATTTTATGGTATACTTATTCTAGGTCTTATTTCCAACATTAGTGTTCCTGGCTCTGAAGACTGGTGCTCATTTCTCTCTTTGAGTCTTTTCTAGAACGTTTACTGTGCTGATGACTGTATCTCTCACAAGCGTTTTATCTTAGCAGTGAGAAGGATAGGATTATCTCCATATTACAAATGGTAATACACAAATTACTGACAGAAGTTTTCCAAGTCCTCCGGGTTTCTTCATGTGTTCCAAAAGCAGCTCTTGTTGACTTTAGATGTAAATGTGGATGCTACTCATATTTGCAGTTTGGAACTGCAGTTATTCTCAAATCTGATATGCCTTCCAGAATGTGGTGTGTGTTTTAAGTGCAGTTTTGCAGGCAAGTAGGTGGACATAAGTTTTCTGCAGCTATATATGGGGGGATATTGTTCCCCTCTCTCACTTCCTGTCAGCTCTGTGAATTGATTTAACTCGTGGATCTGGCAGGCAATCTTTTTCTTTGGTTATCATCTGCCAAATCAGTGTCTTGTGAAAGGGTCAGAAGAATGCTGGATCTGGTGGAAGTGGTGGGAGTATGCAGTCAGGAAAAGAAAAAAAGACCTTCTTTAAACTAGCTTAGACTGTTACAAACAATTTCCTTTTGCACCACTCTGTTGAAAACAGGGATAAAATATTGTCCTATTGGTCATTGCTATGTTAGACAGAAACTTTATTTGCTTGCTGTGTTTGGTCCCTGTTTACCCTCTGACATACGCAGCTGAAGGAATGTAAGGAAACATGCTCCTTTATTATACATTTTTATTAATTTCTTGAATTGGGCCTTGCTCTGCACTGTTGCAGGTATCGAGTGTAAAATAATATTTGATCACTTACTTAAGTACTATATAAATAATTCATAGATGCAAACAACAGAATTAAGGTTGCAGGTGTAACCTTCACTCAAATGTTTCTCAGTGTCACGGAACTGGTGTACTTCAACGTAAAGCGTCTAGAGAAGGGTTTCCCAAGCTTTCAAGGAAGCTAGATTATGAGGAACCCATCAGCTTCCATGATACACCACAACGCTGATAATCTGCATGGTTCTTCAGAGCTAAAATTGTTAGATTTGCCACTACCCTTTACTTTTTTGAGGAAGTGTGATAATTGATAGTACAAAGGGTTATCATTTAGCGTAGGTTGGCATGTGCAGAGTAAGGAGCACTTTCCTAAGGTATTTCAGAATCTTGGGATGGGTATGCTCATTTTGAGTTGTTGACTTTATAGTGTCTGCTTATGAGCCTTGTCTGTCTTGTTTCTGCTAAGGTGGCCTCTTCCAAGAAATCACATTCTGTCTTCAGTGTTGTCCACTGACAGTGTCATTCTGTGCTCCATTCTTTAGTCACTTGTATTGCCCAAGGCTTGTGGGCTGCTGCTGTCTTCAAGTGAAATCACACCAGATTTCACCTGAATTAAACTGATAAAATCATCACATTTTTTTTACCAACCAAGAAGACATTAATAGGTTTGTAAATCTGATGACTCGTTGCTGGGTCAGCAAAATGCCAGAGATGATGCAGAGGAAGAGCAGGATCTTCCTCCTGTTACTAGCAATGTGCTGGTAGGGTACCCCAGCTGTAACATGTAGCTTTTTTCCTGGTGTTCTCATCCAGCTTCTGAGCCCTACCCACCTTGTCTTGTAAGGCTCATTCCTTCATAACATCATTTTCCCTTGTCACTGTGCAGTCCAGTGCTATATCATCTCCATCTTCAGCAGCTTTCTTCTCACACTTTTCTACCCTCAGTCATTTCTTCTGCTGCACCCCTGAGTCTCAGTGTCCTGATGCTCCCAGTATTGGCATGCAACAGATGCAGGTAATGCCTTGGAGAGGGTGCACACTTGTTAAACAACTTACTCTCAGTAGCATTATTTGCAATTTGTTCTTCTAGCTGTTTGCTAGCTAATCCTCACTTCAGAGCTGCTCAACGTGCTGCCTTCTCACAGACTGAGATAATACTGATGCTAAATGGCAATGATTTAATTTTATAAAAATAAAAAAATTAGGACAGTAAAAGGCAGTAGCATTAGAATAAAGTTGCAGCAAACCTTTTCCTGCAAAACTATGTTTTCATAAAAACTATGTTTTCAACATTCCACGGGGCTGGTTGCTTCCCTTTTTTCCAATCAGCAGGACCCTCACAAAACTGCCATGACCTCTCACAATGATGCCCTTCTGAGAGAAACTGGGAATCTGATAGTTTTTTATCTCTTCCTTTCTCTTCAGAATAACATTGAGGGTGTTGGGTTTTGTTTGGTGCTTTTTTTGTGTGTGTGGGTTTGGGTGGGTTTGTGTTTTTTGATTTATTTTTTTTTTTGGTGGGATTTTTTTTGTTGTTTTTTTTTTACTGACTTGTTTGGATTTTTTTTTTCACTGTTGGTTTATACTCCTCTAATAATTCATTGGTCTGATGAGTTATGATAGGTTTTGGCCTGGAATGAAGTTGGCATGAAACATATGCTACCCATGTGATGAGAATGAAATGGGGGTATAAATTTTTCTAAATGGGGAAAGGCTATACTCTGAACAAGCAGTTTATGCTATAAAACCACTAAAATCCAGATGTTCTGAATGACGGAATGAAAAATAGTAATGCTTCCACGTGTCCCAGAGAAGTTCTTGAGTTATAATGTGCATATGGTTAAAGGGCATATGGTTTTTATCCTTATTGTTAAGAATTTGTCTCTTTTGAAAATGAAAATAAAAATGAAGAAAAAGATTTAAAAAGTAAGATTATTAGTGACATTCTAACATTCCCTATTTTTTTCTGGAGTGTTTTAACTTTTGTTGTCTAAGGGCATATATTTTA